TGATATACCATAGGGGGGGGAGCAGGAAGCCAAGGGACCGATAAAGAGTTGCACTACCGTTCAGCAAGCCACAACAATCGGTGAGTTAAATTCGTAACCACGAAGCGTTTCAGTCTGATATAGCTTGAGCATTGTCGGGGCCAGAAAGCATCCTTGCTTCAGCCCTGTGAGATTCTCGAACTCGGTAGAGTCGATTCCATAGACGTGAACAGGAACGAAAGTATTGAATAATGTTAACGACTTTTTTCAAACAGCCGATTATTTATGGTTCAATTGTCACCACTCGGAGATCAGTCTTCGTAGTCTGGCTGGAAAGATCAAAGTTTTCAGCTGCTTGAGGTGACTGGACAAGATAGCGCATATCTAAGTTGGGTGGTTTTTATGTAACGTTCAGAAGTAGGCGTGGCAAGCAGCCAGTATTTCCCAAAGAACTACTGAGCGTTCGGCTGCCATGGATGCCTCAAAGGGTTCCTTGTGACACCGTCGGCCTGAATATGGTTGGATCTCTTGACTTGTTTTAACCTACAAGTAATTCTTCAGTCTAAGTTGATGGTTCGAAACTCCACATAGCAAAGGGAGAGATGGCCGAAGTGGTTAGAGCGCGGATTTACTAACCTGAAGGTCCGTGGTTCGAATCCGACCTCCGCCACTCGACTTCCCCTGTCTAGGCTTGGGCAACCTGGCAGTATCCCAGCCCTCGTGCTCCCTTAGGGTGGCATGGCAGCTAGGCACCGGGAGGGTGCTACAGCTGAACGCTTTATCTTTTCTTTTACATAGCAAAGCTCCTCTCGCATTAAGGTTTTTGAGGGTCATTGTGGAGTTCGTAATGGAGATTTCGCCCAGTTACTGGAACCGATCTATGCTAAATAGCCGGAAACCACTGTACACCTGTTTAATCCTTACCGGGAACCATCGATAGGGTATATCTTATGAAAACCCCATGGGATTTGGAACTCCGTGACCCCCTTGCTAGTAGTTTGAACACCTAACCGTTACTGAGCAGCTTTGATAAAATCCAGATAAATAAAATCATTTTCATAAAACCAGTCTTGACGGCTTTCTTTTTTGAATCCAATAATTTTTATCGCAGCCATCCTAACGTATTGTTTGATCCTAATCTAGTATCCTCTTAACGTGAGGAGCCAAGCCTTTGAATTGAATAAGCTCGGAACTATAGGCTCTCGGAACCGCTATCGTGTTGACTGATCCTGGTCAGTGAGCTTGGTTGACAGTAATTTCGTCCAACGACAGGTAAGGCTTCTCTGGGGCCAGTCGATCTTTGGATCGTAACAGGGCATGCTCTGTACTGCAACCAGCACAGCGCATCACATTTATTACGAGAACTTCCCCGAGATCCTTTTGTCAGATAATCGTATAATGCGAATGGTTCCACGTTAACTTCTTGGAGTCATCCAGTTGGCGATGAACCTTTTCACAACACGGAACCATGTATTAATCATAACGTGTTCCATAGCGGCCGGCAACTCACGTTCATGGCTCCAAATTCTAAAAGACGAAATATTTGCTTGTTACGGCCAACTGAGACTTTAGATGACACACGAGGAATGGGTGATCGGTTGGCCGATAGGATTCTGTCTACTCAGCTTCTGGGTGGCAGAATACGCATTGACAAAACAAGACGAAAAGTCATCCTGGACGCCGAAACTGGTTAATCAAAATCCTCAGCTTGTGCAACATTCCATTATTCACATGATCGGCGACTGCAAATCTACCTCCAAGTTCTCGTCAAGTATCCTTCGAGGTCCCGAACCAGGAGAATGTACATCCAGCTTCTTGGAATCTTCGTTGATCGGCCGACCGAGGTTTGCTTGAGTTAAGCGGGTCGACACCTTAGCCTTCCAGCTCGATTGGCTATGAAGACTGTACGTCCTTCGAGTCTGGCGCTCCATCATTGACGAGAAGGGCTCTAGCGTGTCAGGTTGCCAGTCGAAGTTGGCGCGTCTCCACTCTTCTTTGCTGGTGATTGCCCACTGGTGCATTTTTCAAATCTTCGACGTCCTTCAACATTTCCTGGATCTCTGGTTCGATCATCCGAGTCTCTCTACTCGAGGCAAGTTTATGGAGACAAACGACTCCAGAGTTTGACCCACTTGGCTGGAGAGGCCGGCCTGGAGTGAGGACGCAGAGATTTAGGCAGAAACATAACTCCTAGTGCAAATGCACACTGCAGGTGTGCTTTTGGCCGCACCGAACTCTTGACTTTTAAAAGTACCTCGACTTACCTGATAATGCGCGGACGATGACAAACAGCTGTTGGACAGTTGGGTTATTAGGATTTTAGGACCGACCGCGTCGTTCCTCGGGGTAAGGCCGTGGCACTGCGTCTATAAATACGGAGATTCCGGTGCTCTGGAGGAAATACTATCTTCACACTCCTGTCGAAACAAATTGTAGGACCGGATCGAACCGCAGTGCAATTACTGGTAGCACAGGAGTTTTCCACTCTGTCTGGCTTCTGTCTGTTAACCATCCTGGCACGACAAAACCTTGAGAGGTGAAGTTCCAGTCAGTGTAGCCTTTACGATCATTGCAGCATACTTTGTACAAATGGGTTTGAGCACGTCAGACCGATCAATTCACAGCCCTTTCCACCCAGCCGAGTGGAAGCTCACACCTTAGATAACAGGTATGAAAGCCCGTTCAAGTCAAATAAACCAACCGTTTCTGGATGAGTGCTCTGGGACCAAAGGACAGCTGCGACTAACTATACTGGCACGCACTGCCTGTCCAGGAATCAACTGTGACAAAGCCATTGTCTTCAACGCGCAGTTGATCTTATCCACAGTTCGATGGGCGAATGAGAGCGAAACTCAAAGTCAGCGTTTCACCATTTCAGTATGAATTAGCCAGAATAACTTCGCAAGGACGGGAGGAGGACTGTCCAAACGAGAGTGATGTGAACGCACATTCCAAAATTTGTGCAAATTAACTAGAGGTGAAAGTACGATAGTTGAAAAACTAACTTACGATATGACTTACAAAGTGGATAGTTGGAAAATTACCACGAACCAATGGTTATATGATAGAATCAAGAGGTTAATTACAAGTCTGGAGAATACAGTCGTATGAGAAGCTCATTCCACCTTCTTCTCTTGGTCATTCTTTTATGAGCGCGTGACCTAAAGGACCTTCACGTAAAATAAGCATGCGGAACTACTTGTCACGTGACGAGGACCAATACGAACAGCCGACCAATACTAACTAGAACAAGAAACCAGTCGGTTCAGTGAGACTTGTAACCGGTCGCAGTGAACGGGCAATGAAAGAGAAAAATCGTACCAGGATAGCCTGTTCGTCAGTGAGGTGAGCATTTTGACGAAACAGAGTTCTCGCCTCACCACGGATATACTCGGCTTCCTTCATGGTGTCCACATCAGAACCAGAAGTGGAGCGCCACTCCCGGGCAAAACGCCATATCTTTCGGTAGAGGGCGAGCACACGACTTCGTGTAGAAGCCGATTGGCTTGAAACTCCCCGTGTAAATATCAGGGGCTGTAACAAAAAAATTCACCGCAAATTCACGAGTGCGATTCTCTGAAACTATCTGAAGACATAGTGAAGAAATACACATCACAATTTCGTGACATTAATAGTCTGAGGAGAGCGGTTTGATGTCTGTTGTGCTACGTTTCGAAAAGCAACGAAGCAAACGTACGATTAGCTCCAGATTTTTAATTTACAAAGTTCAATTTAACTGGGCACACATCAGTAAACCGAACACTCAAGATGTACAGTCCCGCTATCTGCAACGCAACATGATATGGAATAAAGACGACGTTATCAATACTTCGAAACTGCTGGTCAACATAATCATCCACTGAAGGGTCCATTGACGAACTGGACGTAGTGAAGCTCGGCAGCACTACCGAGCATCGATAGCTAAAACCTACGACTTACTCTTCCTACAAAGTCACCCGTTCTATCAGTCATCTAGCCTCCATAAAAAAAGTTTCACTATACACCTCATTAGAACATATCCCCGACAAACAGATGATACGAATGGGCACCTCTGGGTTGCGGCATCCACTGCTGTAAGACGGATGGGCTTTGAATGACACATTGATCACGCGAATCAGTTGTTCCGTCTCATATCAGCTTTGGAAGTGTAGCTATTCAACAGTGTGACAAGCAAGCTCCAGTGGATTGTAGGAATCAATTGATGGAGTCTGGTTCCGTTAATCTACTGGAATGAGTTTACGAAATAGGATACTGCAAGATACCAAAAGAACCCCGAAGATTTCCAATGGCTGGCATCGAAGTAAAGTAAACTGAGCATGTTCTTGTCACCTTGCTTCACCATGTGACTTGGTGGTCGGGTGACGCGCTCATCATCAACGGCCGAAAGTTAAATCCGTAGACAAGTAAAAGGTTCTGTGGATGTGCCGTAAGGGAAAAAGGTCCGGAAGAACAGATCGTCAGAGAATGTCTAACGTTCGTTCGGTACACAGCTATCATGCTATTTGAAGAGTCACGTAGCCAAAACTTAGACGCCAGCAATCTTACTGTTCAATTACGAACCACCAGCATGTAGGCCGAGAAACTGTGGTCTAACTGCACCCCATAAGCATCACTATCACTCCTACTACTGATGTGTCGCCACTGTGAAGTCATAAATAGTTTATTTTAAAGCCTAAAGAAAAGAGGACATAAAAGGACTCCCAGTAAGCTGACTGCACGCAATCTGAGATGCCTACGCCTTCACTCACTGAATGGGACTAGCTGGGAAGAAACTGGAAGGATAAACAAGTTGGTACGATTTGGTGGCGATATTGTAACGTGACAAAGAAAGCCTGACATCAGAAGTGGTAAACGATGTAAAAAGTGAGAAGAGAACGTATCACGATAGAGATCATTCTGCCTTAAGTTCATCTGTCTTTGAAACAGCACAGTACGTCAACGTTCCAGGTATTTTCGGATTGCACACCAGTCAAGACTCACTGTTACAGGACATTCATAACTGCGACAAATTTCCAAGGTCGTTCAAAGCAACACACCAGTGATACACACTGGCACTTGACTGGCACAGAAATTCTACGGCGTTCCAAAGGGGCAAGGCAACTTGTGTTATGCTAGCGGCTGAAGTGAGAAATTTCGGCCGACATAAATGTATCCGAACACCAAAAAAACCCGATATATCTCTAAGCACAACTATTAGGCACAGGAGTATTAGTTCCACAATGGGCAAGGCGCCTTATGTTATGCTAGCAGCTGAAGTGGGAAATTTCGGTCGACATTAATGTATCCGAACACCAAAAAAAACCCGATACATCTCTAAACACAGCTATTAGGCACAGGAGTATTAGTTCCACAATCATGCTCCTTTGAGGTGAATAAGGCTCGCACTTCAGAGTGGGCCAGACGATGTAGCGGCACGCTAGAAAACAACTGTTGCCTTGGGAGACACATTGGTCAGAAGCTTGAGATAGTCCATTGGGTAGTGACAAGACAAGCTAACAAATAGTGGAAACAAGAGTGAAAGGACAAGATGGACTCAGCGATTCAGCAACCAACTTCTACCAGCACAGGATGAAGTGAAGTGAAATAACAAGGTTCCCTAAGGTGCCTCCCATGAAACAGTTGCACTACAAGATGTGTGTCATATTCTTCAACTCACAAGGTACGTTTCGAAAAGCAACGAAGCAAACGTACGATTAGCTCCAGATTTTTAATTTACAAAGTTCAATTTAACTGGGCACACATCAGTAAACCGAACACTCAAGATGTACAGTCCCGCTATCTGCAACGCAACATGATATGGAATAAAGACGACGTTATCAATACTTCGAAACTGCTGGTCAACATAATCATCCACTGAAGGGTCCATTGACGAACTGGACGTAGTGAAGCTCGGCAGCACTACCGAGCATCGATAGCTAAAACCTACGACTTACTCTTCCTACAAAGTCACCCGTTCTATCAGTCATCTAGCCTCCATAAAAAAAGTTTCACTATACACCTCATTAGAACATATCCCCGACAAACAGATGATACGAATGGTCACCTCTGGGTTGCGGCATCCACTGCTGTAAGACGGATGGGCTTTGAATGACACATTGATCACGCGAATCAGTTGTTCCGTCTCATATCAGCTTTGGAAGTGTAGCTATTCAACAGTGTGACAAGCAAGCTCCAGTGGATTGTAGGAATCAATTGATGGAGTCTGGTTCCGTTAATCTACTGGAATGAGTTTACGAAATAGGATACTGCAAGATACCAAAAGAACCCCGAAGATTTCCAATGGCTGGCATCGAAGTAAAGTAGACTGAGCATATTCCTGTCACCTTGCTTCACCATGAGACTTGGTGGTCGGGTGACGCGCTCATCATCAACGGCCGAAAGTTAAATCCGTAGACAAGTAAAAGGTTCTGTGGATGTGCCGTAAGGGAAAAAGGTCCGGAAGAACAGATCGTCAGAGAATGTCTAACGTTCGTTCGGTACACAGCTATCATGCTATTTGAAGAGTCACGTAGCCAAAACTTAGACGCCAGCAATCTTACTGTTCAATTACGAACCACCAGCATGTAGGCCGAGAAACTGTGGTCTAACTGCACCCCATAAGCATCACTATCACTCCTACTACTGATGTGTCGCCACTGTGAAGTCATAAATAGTTTATTTTAAAGCCTAAAGAAAAGAGGACATAAAAGGACTCCCAGTAAGCTGACTGCACGCAATCTGAGATGCCTACGCCTTCACTCACTGAATGGGACTAGCTGGGAAGAAACTGGAAGGATAAACAAGTTGGTACGATTTGGTGGCGATATTGTAACGTGACAAATAAAGCCTGACATCAGAAGTGGCAAACGATGTAAAAAGTGAGAAGAGAACGTATCACGATAGAGATCATTCTGCCTTAAGTTCATCTGTCTTTGAAACAGCACAGTACGTCAACGTTCCAGGTATTTTCGGATTGCACACCAGTCAAGACTCACTCTTACAGGACATTCATAACTGCGACAAATTTCCAAGGTCGTTCAAAGCAACACACCAGTGATACACACTGGCACTTGACTGGCACAGAAATTCTACGGCGTTCCAAATGGGCAAGGCGCCTTATGTTATGCTAGCAGCTGAAGTGGGAAATTTCGGTCGACATTAATGTATCCGAACACCAAAAAAAACCCGATACATCTCTAAACACAGCTATTAGGCACAGGAGTATTAGTTCCACAATCATGCTCCTTTGAGGTGAATAAGGCTCGCACTTCAGAGTGGGCCAGACGATGTAGCGGCACGCTAGAAAACAACTGTTGCCTTGGGAGACACATTGGTCAGAAGCTTGAGATAGTCCATTGGGTAGTGACAAGCTAACGAACAAAATAGTGGAAACAAGAGTGAAAGGACAAGATGGACTCAGCGATTCAGCAACCAACTTCTACCAGCACAGGATGAAGTGAACATAGATAACAAGGTTCCCTAAGGTGCCTCCCATGAAACAGTTGCACTACAAGATGTGTGTCATATTCTTCAACTCACAAGGTTGTGGAACTGCACACTGCTTACATTGGACTCCAGTCGTGACCCGGCTGGGATTCATTTGAAAACCAAACTGGTATGCAGGTGAATGCAGTTCGCGATTTCGGTTCAGTTAGCACATGAGGCTGATAGAAACTCTGGAAATCGGCCTACCTGATGAATCTGAACAAGGGTGAAACCGATCATGGGCTTTTGAAGAGTTTTCAGCAGCGTTGCAAGTAGTTACCTCCACGAAAATCGACACATCGGTTTGATACAGCGCTAAACAATTGGTCGTCGCACTTCTCTGTCATTTTTCCGCTTTAACTCACGTACGCGGTCAAATCAAGCTGATTTCCATCACCATCATGGAATCTCGATGCCAACAACCTCCCATAATTTGTTCCCTATATTTTCGCGCTGCATGCGATTCCCACAGAAAAGACGTTGTGAATGCTAAAGCAAACTGATGCTATCTGGGATACTGATGGGCCTAATCAATTACTAATTGTACACTAAAGGATGCGTCCATCCGTAACAATCATTCGCCGTAGTGACCCGCTATCATTCGGCCTTTTTAATCGCGCATAAGATCGGACAATACAACAGGCAACCTTGTGAACAAGGCATCCGGCTAGGCCTAAACTCCTGATAAATGCAGATCCTGTGTGCGCACCACACCGTCATAATTGGACCCTAGCAGCTTACGGACAGCCCTCGACTGAATCCGTTCCTGAACGAGTTCCTTTGGGTTGCAGATCAACGCCAGCGAAACCAAACTCCTCACGGCAAGGACTAATATGATTTTTCGGTTGATTCCCTTGAAATAGAAATCTGCTAGTGATGTCGACTCATTATAGGACTACATTCAGTCTAGAATAACACTCGATTTAGCCAGAACCCATTTATGACGCAAAGTAATCAGGTCTGATCATCCGGCCACCAGATCAACTTAGTCGACCGACACTGGAATCAAGTTCACGATAACTTGAGCAGGCCTAAAGGCCATTTGGAGAACTAGACAACCAAGATGCGAGCCCATCAACGATACAAACTCCCATCTGAAAATTGAACCAAAAGCAAGACCTGAGTGGAATCCACATAAACACTCATAACCGGTCACAATGCCTCAGTCATATTTGTGACATTTTCTCGACTGGTGGGGAAGCTTGCACAAAGAAATCGTCAAGCTCGGTCTTGGAACTAAACACCAAGCATGCATGAACTCTAGTTCATAACTGAACACAAAAAGGAAGCCAGTTGCTGATTATGCAACCAGAGAGACGAAGATTTCACCCAGATAGGCATACGGCAAGAATCTCAGATAAGAAATGATAAGTCAACCTAAATGCCGAGTGAAACTCGGTCTGCACGCAGACAGAGAAAAAAATTGCACCCCGTCACGTGTTCCAGGATAGACACATTAAATCCCACTAGATACGACGGATATGATCTGCAAGAGTTCGAACGGGCAGTGGAATGTGGGAGCGGGTGGAAGGAGTCCATGAGACTAAGCGACAGGCAGTTCAACGATACCCCATTGCATACAGCATGCCGAGAGAAGTCCACTGAAAGAGTAATTAAATGTTACAGTCGTTGTGTATTTTCGACACAGATCTGTTTGTATGTACAGTTGAGATGTACAGAAAAGAAAACCATTCCGGGTAAAAAAAACGGACCAGCTATCACAACGAACAAGAGGATAAGTCAATCAATTTTTTGTGTTGAAAAGCGAGTTTTCTATATAAAACACACAAAAAGACACGGAGGCGGGATGGCTGAACAGATCTAATCTTCAACGTGTTCAAGACCTCCTAAGAGGAATTAATGTACAAATGGAGGTTATCGAGATTTTGTTGGTCTGTCTATGGGTATGAGGAGTGCCTGAAACTGAGCGGTAATCTGCTAATGCATGTCAGTGAAGGAGACTGTTGGTGCATAGAGCGCCAGAGATTGAAGTACACCCTGGATTAGGTCGTCAGAAGGGTTCTCAAAGGGGACAGTGATGCTGCTGTTCTCCTCAGTAGAAGTATTGTTTCATGACATCGGGGAACGTTTGGCACAGAACTGTCTCAGCTGAGTTAATGGTTGTTCAACGCTGACTGTTGGCTTGGAAGATCTGGGTGGCTTCCGGCACCCGCACTCCGTTTCAATGAGGCTGACACAAGACGACTGGACAGTCGGGGGTTGATGGATCCTGTGCCACTTGTGCAATCCACACTGGTACTGCGTGCACCACGACGTTCGGCTATCTTATGAGTGACGGACTCAAGCATTCGGATCCATCTATCCCGTTCGGTTGTTGTGGATGCAGCCAGGCGATAGGTAGTATGATGACCTGAAGCAAACAAAAGCGGTGGAAAATAAGTGAGCAGATTAATTGATCCCATGACAATAAATTAACTAACAAAGAAAGGCTGCCATGGATGAAGGGAACAAGTGTCCTTTTCTGAGAACGACCACTATTCGGAAAAGTACCCATAATGACAAGTCAACTTCGGAGGATACGAAAGTTTGCACAACTGCTTGTTTTATACAACACATGATAATCTTGCTCTAACTGCAGTTACAACACTTAACCAGTACTTCAAAATACACTCACCTCCTGAAAAGGGGTGAGTAGTATCTTGAAGTGCTCCAGCATCCGTCGTGGCCAGAGCCCTAAATTTGATGCTACTGTACCATCCGTACCACGCATTGATCCTATATGCAATACTGAATATTGGGTTGACTGAACGTCAGCCTCCGTAGTGCACAAACGAGAGGCTTACTCCAATTCCCCTTGAGTCTACCGTCCAGCCGAATGTCTGGATAATTCATGAGCCCGTTGACGGAGCTAAGCAAATGAAGTAGTGCGAAACCACAGCACTGTTCATACAAAACTAATGGGTACTATGACGATTGAAGGCAATGCAGGCAGTAGGTGAGGAATGCATTTTTCACCATCTTGAGCAAGGTCACATGGCCTAACTCAGGCTATGCATGCAGCTGACATAAGCGCACGGGTTAGAGGAGCCATGAGAGGGGTGCGGTTATGCCAACTGATGAGGTTCCAATCAACCAACACACTGGTTAGGTAGTGTCTCAGCAGTTAAACGCACCTTCGAATGTCCAGAGTAGCTAGAAGATAAAACCGTTCACCACAGCCCCGACCAAAAGGACAGTGTCACGTTCATGCGGTCCACTTTTCCAACCACCAGACTGGAAGCCGAAAAACCTACTCCATGACCAAACAGAAAGTTTTACCTGCGCGATACTGATTAAAGCAAAACAGACGCAATGAGCTTGCCAATTTCTGATACTAATTTCCGTTTGCCTCAATTGGTTCTTTTCAACTCTGCTCAGAAACTTGCGGATAAGACGCAATATCTCCTCACGTAACTGGATAAAATAAAACCAAACTATATATTTGGAGGTGAGTGTGCCACAAGGCCTTCCCCCCTTGTCCAGCCTTCTTCTTATTGACAGGTCAAAGTCACTTCTGCATGTACGTCGTTTAGTGGTCCAGAGAATGCGGCTGAAAGGAATGCTATAGTGTGCGAAGATTAGCTCAACGGTTACCTAAGAGTGGAAATATTCCAGCCTGTAAGTCGGAGATCGTGTTCGAATCTGTTGGTCAGACATTTAAAGCTTCGTGTTACATTTACTTTGTTGACCAGAAATCATTTAAGTTTTCTTCCTTCCTCTGTCACCGTCCGACCGGAGTGTATCTGTTAATCTCTAGTAGGATAGGTAGAGGGCATTTCGTGATCCACCTAGCGGGCCGGTAATCCCCAAGAAGCTGATACCTGCATAAACCGATACACGTGAGTGGTCACAACGAAGATTTATCTTGAGGTTTGGTTCAAATAGATCAACATAGTAGCTCAGTTCAAATTAGTCTACTTTGCCCGAAGAGATCAAGGAACCTCTGGTTATTTGCAATAGTGTTTATCAGGTAACCTGGTCTCTAAATTACGGTAGAAAAGCAGGCCACTGGGCCTGCTCGGCATCAGGGATGAACACAGAACGAATACGTACATGCTGCAGGGCGTTGGGTTGACATGTTGTATAACCGGTTTGAGGGCACTTATCGGGGACTATTCTGGAAATTTGCATCTCCTTGGAAGGAAGTACTAGTGAGTTCAGGTGGCATCCAAGCCTACATATCCGGTGAAAGATAACAACTATCTACGTTTGAAGTTACACGAAGATTGTAATGGGAATGGTGCATAGCACACATAGCTGACGTGCTATTCAGAGAAACACTGCCCAAATCTAGCAAAAAACAGTCAAAAACCAGGGTTGTGTCCTAACCTTCGAGTCAGTAGTTACGTTTCCAAACTGCTGAGCTATCTACGGATTGACCACCTCCTACCTGCTTACAGAAGCCACGATCTTGTTCCTTAGTGCGCGGTTAACCTCACTTCTTCAAAGACCATCGATAGAAAACACAGATATATTTGGATTCCGAATGAAGTGAGTTGTGCAATATAATACAGTACATATATAACTGTCAAACAGTCTGAAACATGTTAATCTAGATTAGCAACTTTCTCACATCGTTCAGCTGTAACATCCTTTTGGTGTTTGCCATGCCACTAGAAGGAAGCAGAGAGCTGGGATACTGCCAGGCTTCTCAAGCCTAGACAGGGGGGAAGTCGAGAGGCAGAGATCGTGTTCGAACAACGGACCGTCGTGCTGTAACCACTGAGCCCACTGCTATGAAGAACACTAAACGGTACCTTAAAGGCAGCTGAGCACACCCTACTTGATTGGACAATATAGGTTACCAGCGTACTCTTGTTCGCCAAGTTGAATGTTGTAAATGGTTTCAGATACATCCGTGGCCAGGCGACGGTGCTGCCAGGACAGCGAAGTACTTGTAGGATACGATGCACAAAGTGGAAGCGGAAGAAACTCAGAACAGCACACAAACCACGTTTTCCAATACAACTCTGGGGGGATCACGGCGAACCTAATCCATCGTAGTGGGTCAGAAATGATTTGTGACTAACTTGCTTTGTGGTGGTGGACTGTCACCACATCTGTCTATTCCTCTTTGACTACTTCGTCACAGTAAGCCGTTACGAATCTTATCTGTTTACTCTTGAATTTTGAACCATGTATTTCTCAGTGCTGTCGATCGTTTTCAGAAGCGTGCATCCTCCCCATAAACACAAATATATATCATCTTCTGGTGGAACCACATTCTCTCCAAAATTCAATTCCTACGTGCTATTTCCATTGCCGTGTCTGTACCACTCAAGCGCCAGATGTGATCATTCGTTGTTTTTGAGTTCCAGATGGACACATGCAACTTCGGTGTTAACGGCTAAGTCGTAACGATCAAAATGGGATTGCGACGCGTACGATACAACGTCCTTCAAATCCGGTCAAAAAACAGTGCTTCAAACGAAAAAAGCTGGCCACTTCAAACAATGTATGAATTCATGTCAACGTAACTCCCCGCTATCTCGGGATAGCTAGGTGGGCGATGACTCAACAAGCTAGTCAACTGAGACCGATATACATAGTCAACTAAATCATCACTGACACTCGCAGTCATGCGAGTGTATATATGCTCAGTGAATAACGGATATGAAACGTTAGCCCAATCAAAGATCAACAACAGACTGGCTTTCTCCGCCTAATTAGATACGATGATGCTAGCTGGATTATCTCGTTTCATTCACCCTCCAACAGGTCTACATTAGGCCACACAATACTAAGATGATTTCACATAGGGTACACAGCAGGTTGCTTGTCAGCACCCAGTGAATCACTTGCATTTAATGAAACGAATCTTGCCGAGATGGGATCTATCATATCAAACAACGCTGATGGATACCCCACGGAGTACGCAACTCCACATGTAGGGCAAGCTGAAGCGGGGAATCTGGCCATTAGGTGAAGAAGAGAGAGGGAGCAGTTCGAAATGATGGCCCACACCTGTGAAGCCACGCGGTGACGACCAAACAGTTGAAACCAACAATGCATGCGTAACGATGACCACAACCACTGATAAGACGCACACTGCCTATGACTAGCTATTGACAGCCAATAATCAGTCCATTCTGTGCAGCGATGGCCCCAAAAAGCATCACTGAAGGTTTAGCAAACAGGAATGTCCTCTCGAGAAATACACTCATTTGCAAATCAATTTGGTTTTCACGGGAGACTCAATCGAATTTCCCGTTTATGATGTCCTCCAGCTGAATGTGCTGCACACAGGCCGCCTCATGATTCAGTTGGC